GGGCGAGGGGTGGTATTGCGAAACCGGGCTGGTTCGGAGTGGCGCGCTGTCGAGTTATGGTTGGCCGGGGGCATCTCGAGGAGACGGGGAAGGATCCCGGCCGTTGAATCGGGCGGGGGTCGTTATTGCAGCCCTGGTGCTGGTGGGCCCGCGGGCCCGTGGCGCTGGTGCACCACTGGGGATTGGTCGCCGGAGCGAGCGTGGTCGGGTTGGCGGTGCGAAAAGGTTTTTCCAGGCCTCGTGTGTGGTCCGCGGTTGTCGGGTACAAGGGAGCGAGACGGCAAGCGACATTTGGCATGGACGAGGTGACCCCGTCCTGCCAGTGGGGTCTGCTCGGTGAAGACTCAAGAAAGTCTACACTGTTCAAACGTGGGTCGCATCATCGTATGAAACTATGAATGACAACCTCTATGAATGCTCAAAAAGGAATGCATACTTTCAAAAGAAAAGGGATCCTGCATGATTGTAGTAGTGTTCGGAAGAGAATCTCTTTTCACTCCGTTGATGGAGTAGGACGGCCATTCATTGCCGTTGATGTGTTCAATCTTCAGTTATCAGCGTGCCAAATATATCAATATATTGCAGACCCATAAATACTCCAGCCCTTGTCATATTGGGAGAAAATCAGTGGGCTCTTTAGTTAATGTCTTGTCGGCACTATAAGAAAATGAAATTACCATCTCTACCCAGTGAGATGGGCTTGTGAGCTGGTTCATATGGGACAAAATCTCTGTTCTATCCTTTTATGCTAACAAAATCAGAAATTGACCTTGTTTGCAAAGAAATTTCAGATCTGACCTTTTTTGGTCACGCCAACATCCTTGACATTTGGCTTGCATTGGAGACGCAGACTTTGCGACGTTTAACCCTGGCCCAAACTATCCTAGCTGGCGCTAAAGTGGCAAGGCCAGACGCCATGCATCTTGGAGTTTGGGCAAATGCCATGGCGTTTTGAGCCCATCCATTATGAGTAGGCAAGAAAAGCACATATATTGGCAATTGGGAGCTACACTTCACGTATAAACTGCGCTGCATGCATGCATCAATAATGGACTTGCTTCCATCAATAATTGTAGTAGGTTAATTAATTTTATCAGGAAACTATAAAGAATTAGTAGTAGGCTTTTATTTAGCAAAAAAAAAGTAGTATTCTAGAACTTATGAAACCATCCAAACGTATTATATGGTGTCACGGGCGGCGCCCGCGGATGTGTTGGCTTATTCACACATATATACGCACATGTATATATAGTAACACTATAGGGTCGTGCTATTCGTCACCCTGGGTGAGGAATAGTTATTCTTCATCCTCCTCTATTTTACTATTAATGCACCGTAATTTTACGTTCCGTAAGTTTTGTCTTATTTCCGACGCAAAAAGGGACCGTAAGAAAATATATAATCGCCGTAAAAATATTTTATGTTATGTAAAATTACAAACATAAAAATATAGTCTAAAATACACATAAACTCCAAATTTTCTTGTCTTATGACCTATATTTTTATTTTTTATGTCAAATTTTACGTAATTGATAAATAGGAATGTAACTATTTGAATTTGAAACGTAATTTAATTATGAAATGATTGTAAAATTAACTTGGGTGAAGAATAACTTATTTTGCACCCTGGATGATGAATAGTAACACTATATATATATATACAATTAGCTAGCTATATACAATTTCTCCTAATTGGTGCCTTCGGAGCACGATGACAATTGGAATTGGTTCATGGGGGCGGTAGCGGGTAATAGTATTCTCCTTTGGGATCTATGACCTGGTCGAGCAAAAATCCCGCTATTTCCTCTTGAATTGCTTCTATGCGCTCCTCTGCTAGGAGCTGCTCCTGCACCTCTCTGAACTGTTAAGAAGGAGATCAATATGCATGTGTATTAGTTGTGTGACTAGATATCGATAATGGTGTAAAAATTATGAATAGTATTTTGACAAACATACCTAGTCCTGTCTTTGAGATCTGCTCCTTTCGAACGCCATCATGCGAATGTTCTCGCAAACGTAGTATGCACACAGATTATTCCCCGGTGCCTGCTTCAGGGCATTTACGAGAATGGAATTTGATTAGATAATAATTAATCAAGCATGATAATTAAAGAGATGACAGCTAGCTAGCTAGTACTACTTAATTACTTACCTTGGGTCGATACCATTTCAGCTTTCGTTTCCATTGGCCTGGAGTGACGCTGATGAACTTTGCCCAAGCTCTGCCCGCCGACAAAGAAAATGAATAAAGGGGTTATTAAATAGTTCATATCAGGAAATGACGAACTAAATAGGCCGAGATATAGTTAATAATGATTGAAATTACCTATTGACTATCCCAAACAAGATGGTGTAGTCACTTGCTTTTTTAAGTAGTTAGTCCAGTATTTTAACTGTTCCTTCATCAACTTTAATGATTAACAAGATCCAGTGAAATCTACATGCATACACGTTTGCATGTCTTAATTAAGTGGGCATATGTAAGCAAAACATGTAGCTAGCTAGTAGGCAAAAACAGAATTTGTAGTACAAGACAGTGTGACTCACTTGAAGTTGTAAGGAAATAGTATATCTTCATTGGTATTAAGGCACTTGAAGAACTCTAGCATGCTTTCCTCTACACTTTTTTCATAATATGCATCTAATTTCCATGTGTATTCATTAATGGTATTTGGGTCAATGAACCCAATGCCATAGCGTCCACCTTTTTTCATTTCATACATCTTCATCCTGCATAATACCACAGAAAAGAATATAGTGAGGATAATTACAGGTAATGATTGATCAAAATGATCACTACAGCTAGCTTGAGACTTAAATTACAGAAAGAAATCACTTACAGACAATAGCAACTGACGATAGATTTGTCGAGTGCGTCTCAATTGTATAACTGAAATACTTCTAAATACTCAACGGACACAGCTTTCTCATGGAAGTAATGATCCTTCTTGACATTCACCATGAGGGACTCTCGATTGGAAATCTTGGTAATGTCCATGTACCATTGATGCAATTCATACATTCTCGTTGGGAGCTTTTTGACCTCGTCTGGCTCGACCAAAGGTTGGCCCCGGACATATTTCCGTTTTATTTCCTCTTCTCTAAGCAGAGACATGGGCTCGATATCAAGGAGTTGTCCAACAGTGATCATGAGCCTTTCAGCCTGCTCAATATGCTCCTCGGTTATTACCACATCGCCCAGCCCGGGAACATTAACGGTTTGCCCACAATAATATTGGGCGCGCGTACTCTCATGTGTTGTTGGCACAACAAGCGGGGGGGTTGATTGCGCCACCTGTTCTCCCAACCGGGGAACGGTTTTACCGCTCCTTTTGCCAGCTGATTTGCTCGAGCTCGAGCTCGCCTCTTTCTATAGACGTGCTCGATTTAAATTCCTGAGGTGGCGCTCATAGTCTGTGTTAACAGGCTTGGGAGATGGTGGTCTAGCCATACGAATGAAGTGGTCAATCTTTTCCTCAGACACTTTCTCCCTTGGCGGCGGTGGCGGTTTCGGTGTAAAATGGGCTTCCACCTCGGCCTTTGATATGGCTGCGTTTTCCTCCTCGAACTTGTTGTAAGGCCTCTGCGGAAGAGGCGCGAGGCTGCTTGGACCATATTGAAATCGCTTGCCTCCGCCTGTACCTCCCGTCCTACCTCGACTTGTACCGCTATGCACCATAGCTGCGGTGGCTCTCTTCCATGATTGCTGAGGTGGCGGAGACGACTGACGTGGCTGAGTTGGACGAGGAGGAGTGACCTGAAGCTGTGCCGGACTTGGAGGAGGAGTGGCCTGAAGTTGTGCCGGACTTGGAGGAGGAGTGGTCTGACGTTGTGTCGGACTTGGAGGAGGAGTGGTCTGACGCTTTGCCGGACTTGAAGGAGGAGGAGTGGCCTGACGCATTGGTGAACTTGGAGGAGTGGGAGTCTGCTGACTCGGTGGCGGATTTCGACGAGGAGTCGGCTGACGCGGTGTCGGTGGCCTTCGAAAGATGATGCAATCCTTTCTCCATAGGATGATACGATGTTTGGTCTCTCCCAGTGTGTGCTCCTCGTCACCTCCAGGAATGTCAAGCTCTAGCCCAGAATATTGGTCCACCACCTCATCAACCAAGACACGAACATAGCCCGCTGGAATCGGGTTGCAATGGAAGGTTGCCTCGGGGGGATTTGTAAAAGCAACGGCGTCCGCCATCTTCATGAATATGTTCTTCATTTTGAAGTGTAGCTCGCAGTTAGTGTTCTCCATGATGTCATCCATGGGGTATCTATCCAGCATTGCATCGCCCGGGGCGAAACCCACGCTGCTTCTCGGCATGGATGGGACGGTGTTATCCAATGCTGGATCATCCGCTAGCTGCTGCAGCTGCTGAGACCCCCTTTGCTGGCTAAGTGAGTCGATCTGCTCCTGCTGCCGCTGGAATTTGAATGCCAAGTCTGCGTGCGCTGATTCTAGGCCTTGAAGGCGTTCATAGTCCAGCTTCCTCTGCTCCTCCTCCATCTTCCTCTTCTTCTCCTCCGCAATCTTCTTTCTCGCACGGGTTCTTTAGTCG